GAGGACGAATTGTTAAAAACCTAGTATTCTAACATATATTACAGAATAGTCTTTGTTCTGTCTTTTAATTTAAATTTTTCCCATTTCTTTTTCTTTAAAAAATACTTATCAGAATGAGTACTTGTATTGTTTTTGGTTTTATTTATTTAAAAGAATACTTAACTACATCTTTTGGACATTAAAGAGTCATTATCATTTGAAATAGTACAAGACATTCCTACTTATGTAAAAATAACAAAAAATTATATGATTCTTCAAACAGAAAAAGTAATTTCTCATTAAAAATTCCTTCATTTTGTTTTTCTGATCACTAGGAATGATATCACAGCTTGGAGAAAATATAATCTTCCTTAAGAACAAGTTTTAGTTCTTCTCGAGGATTTTCATCAGATGACTACAGATTGTACAGCTCTACCCAGTGATCATCTTCCTTCAGAATTTATTAAGGTTTATTCTAGAGTGGTTAGGAAATTATTGTTCCTGATTTTCCAGAATTACATTACATATTTTCAGGCCTCCTTGAGTTTTACATGCCAAAATTCTGAATGTTCTGTATATTGCTCTTCTCCTACTCCTACCCACCCACCTAACTAATCTAATACTAATCTGAGAGTGATTTTTAATCTAATACTAAGAAATGATTTAGAAGCTTTTTTGGAGAAGGCCAAACTCAGTGTTTCCATAGTTCTGGGAGCTTGGTGTGAGAATAAAGAAAAATTAAGAAATGCAAAAAGCTGTTTTTGATAAAAAGGAATTAGGAAAATAGTGCACCACCTCCTGTTTTAGGTAGTTCTTAAGGCACATCTGAGTATTAAAGGTTTAAAAAGTTTCTGATATAAAGTCTAGTTAACTTTTAAAAATTGAATATTTCCAAAACTTTTAACCATGGAAATACTTTTTCCTACATACATATTATCTCCTCCACAATATACTCATTTGGAAAAGTCTAACCCACTCTAATCTTTGCTGTCTCGTCTGCTTCCAGGGAGGACTTTTTGATAAAAACAAACCATTTAGGCTGGGCGCGATGGCTCATGCCTGTAATTCTAGCACTCTGGGAGGCCTAGGCAGGTGGATTGTTTGAACTCAGGAGTTCGAGACCAGCCTGAGCAAGAGCGAGACCCCATCTCTACTAAAAATAGAAAGAAATTAGCTGGACAACTAAAAATATATAGAAAAATTAGCCAGGCATGGTGGTGCATGCCTGTAGTCCAGCTACTCGGGAGCCTGAGGCAGTAGGATTGCTTGAGCCCAGGAGTTTGAGGTTGCTGTGAGCTAGGCCAATGCCACGGCACTCTAGCCTGGGCTACAAAGTGAGACTCTGTCTCAAAAAAAAAAAAAAACAAACATTTAGCTTTCAGGCATATGTGTGTGTGTATATGTATACACATACACATACCCATTGTGTTACCAAGTAATGACAGATGAAGTAAAGAATGGGTTGAAACTCAATAATGGGGTTAGAGATTGATTGAGGTTCAGATATGGGACAAATACTGAGGCAGGGGTCAGAAATGGAGTGAGGATCACTGATGTTGATCATGCAAGTCACTTGGTAATAAGATAGTGTTTTAACATTTCTACAAAGCCATTTTAAGACCTATCAAAATAGTCATGTCAGATGGAGTAGGTCAAAAATATCCTGCTTTATTCTTTGAGACAATCTTCCTTTTATCTTTCACAAACATTACTTAATTTCTTTATGATATTGTATCTCAAAATTAAAGTCATTAAGCTAATTAGCTATATTTCTCTTATTTAAAATTTGTATGTTTTATTTCATAGGAGTGTGTGTGTATCTTGACATTTGTTTTGTAATTTCCTGGCAGATTTCTAAAGTGAAAAATTCTTATAGCTTTACATCAACAGATTTAATTAAAATGAATGAAAGATGCCAAGAGTCTTTGCGAGAAATCTATCACATGACTTATATGTAAGAGCATTTGAAGTATTTGAATGTTAAACTGGTTTAATTTGAGGAACTATGATAAATTTTATTAATTGGCTTTCTGTCTGATTATAGACCATTGTAGAATTATGAATGTTAGCAAAGAAAGTCTATCATTGTGGTTAGGATCACTGAGCTTCACAGAAGCTGCAGGGCAAATCTAGTTGCAAAAGAATACCATTATAACTAATATTTGGGTAATACGCATTCCACCATGATGTAGAATTTGAATTTGGTACATTATGTGCCCATCTTGGACTTCAGTTTATTCTCTTCCTGTGGTCTGTAAGCCCTCAGCATTTCATACCTTGATATTTCCATAACAGTATCACAATAGTGTCAGTTCTTTTGCTGTTCATGCAACAGTAGCAATACAGCGAGAAAGAAGAAACAGAACATTTAGAACATTTATTAGGCTAAAATAATAGAAGAGAAGGGTACTTTCAAAACAATTTCAGGTCATGGACCACGGACATTATAATATATAGTAAGTTTGTATATATTTATCTTTGTAAGGGAAAACTTTTGCACTGTATCACAGTATAACTCTGCTACACAGAAATTTTATTATTCAGATATTGTGTTTGTGTGTGTGTGCACATGTGTGTGTGTGTGAGAAACAGAGAAAATGAATGAGAGAGAAAATACATAATAGCTTTTGTGATGAATTTAACATTTGCAAAAACACAAAATTATTAACACATGGGATCTGTCCAAGTGTAGTGAGGGCTTGATTGTACCTATATAAAATATTTCTATTAATAAAAATGTATTTCATTAATATTTAATACAAGCATTTATTTCAAAAACATGGTATTAATACATCAGAAGATGTATTCTTTGCCACTAAGTAGCTGTGACCTTGAGCAAAAACTTCAATTTCCTCATGTCTAAAATGAGACAACTGAACAATAGACTTTATCTGTAGTGTACAACTCAACTGTGAATATTACCTCAGGCAATGAATTTAATATTATTTTAGTATTACACTGTATGTCCCTTTTAAAAGGCATTATTACATATCTTACCAAACATGTACTTTCAGGATAGTGTGCAAACTGCTTAGTGAGATTTATGAACATATTCATTGCTTATATAAACTGTCTGACACCGTGTCAATGCTGGATATGCTACTGTCATTTGCTCATGCCTGCACTCTTTCTGACTATGGTAAGTTTCTTTCTTTGGAATAAACATGTTGCACACTAAAATTTGTATTCCATTTAAACAATCTTTTATAAAAATTATGAAATTTTTAACTTTTGTACTTGAAATATATTAATAGTCTCTTACCTATGGTCCTAAACTAAAAGATTAAGACACAAAATCAAAAAAGTGAAATTATCCTTAAAATTTCCTAAAAGTCAAAAATGATTCACTCGCAAATTAGCAAATCAAAAAGAAAAATTGCAGGAAACTTTAAAGGTTTTCCAAACAAAGACTGTATAGCTGTGTCCTTGGTGAAAATGACAATGATCTAAATTTATAAAGTTCAAGTCTGCATACTCATTAGGAGTGGGGTGATGAATACTAATAGAAAAAAATGAATCTCCAAATTGAGCAAATTTTTATCTACTAGCTCCTTAGATGTGACCATACCAAGATCAGGATTTATGTCATTCATTTTTGTATCCCAAGTCTATACACAGGCCTTGAATATAAATGTTAAGTAATTTTCTCATGTTGAATGAAAACTTCAAGTTAGCCCTTTGAGATTTCTTATCCAACTTACCAGTAATAACTATTCTCCAGTATGCAAATTTACAGGAGTAGTATGTGATAATTATGTTGCAAAATTATACACTTAATAACATTAAAAATATTTCTAGTTAAAATCAGCAGTAACATTTCCAAAATATTATGTTAATTCATTTTTATTGGGAGTACCTTAGAAAGACTTTTTTCATATATTCGTATTTCTTATGGAAATATTTTTTCCATTGGTATATTATAGGCCAAAACTTTTCAATCTTTTATATCTCCTTGGCAGTCAAAACCTTACCTTTTGAGGTCAGCTATTCCAATAGTAGTTTTTTTTAACTATCAACAGATTTAATTTTGTTCCATTTTAGTCTGAGAGGGACTGTTGTAAAACTCCAAACCTATAAATAATGAATTTTTGAAAGTACTTAAAAATTTTTCCTCTCACACCAACATCACTTTTATAATGAATGTTTTCAAGTTTATCTATGCATTTTATTCAGAGATATTTAGCATTTTAGCTTTCATTTGTCCTTCCACCTTCTTTCTTCTCCCTTCATCTTGGATGGTATCCATGGAGACCTGATCATTATTTGTTTCTACACAAATCTTTTGTATCTGATTTGCTCTATCTCCTGAAATTTATTTTTAGACAAAATTTCTCCAAGAGCTTAGGCAGAAAATTATTGTTGTCTTTGGTTTTACTCTATATTTTATACCTCATTTTGAAAGGTATGCCAAATTTGGTGTGATATTTAAAGTAGGGAGATAATGTTTAAGGTAGGGTCATGTTTGAAAGAATATTTAAGGTAGGATAAGCAAATGTATAATTCTGTAGAACTGGTAATCAGTTGTTGTTTTAAAAGTATTGTCAGTGGCTACTTAGTTCTTTCTAATCTATGCAAATCTAAAAATTTTATAAACTGTTTTGGAGCAGTGACAGGGAACTAAATTCTAGAATTCTCTGGAAGTGAATAAAAGTTGTGATAGTGATTAGAGTGTGTTCATTATATTAATACTTTAGAGGAATTTAGGGAGGGATATGAGATAAAATAATACTTTAGTGTTATTGTCCCAAATTGACCCTGGTAAAATCACTAAGGTACACTATATACACACTACAAAATCTTTAGATATAATAAAACATATTAATCTTTTAAAGCAATTTTATTTTTTTTTCCTTCAGTTCGGCCAGAGTTTACTGATACTTTAGCAATCAAACAGGGATGGCATCCCATTCTTGAAAAAATATCTGTGGAAAAACCTGTTGCCAATAATACCTATATTACAGAAGGGAGTAATTTTTTGATCATAACTGGACCAAACATGAGTGGGAAATCTACATATTTAAAACAGATTGCTCTTTGTCAGATTATGGCCCAGATTGGTAAGTTATGGCTTTACTTTATATTAATAGCTACCAATTCAACTTTCTTTTCAAAGTGGTTTGTGCCTGGTGCCTAATTAACCCAAGAACAATTGGGAATAGATTCTTTTACCTAAAAGTATAATAGTGTGTCTAGTATGTAGATCATAACTTTTACTATTGAGTATTTATTAAGCTCCACCAATTTGGATTGCATTACACTAAAAATTTTGTGGCATATTACAGTAGTAATGTATTTACTATATTAATGTTGTATCAGTTATTACTAAATTAAGTCATGTAATTATTTCAGGTTCAGAAACAAACTTTGTTGTAAGAAAAAATAAAATGAGTAGGATAACCAGCTAGCTGCCTTTAATAACCCTTGTGATATTTTTCCAAAATTATAACATTGAGCAGAGAAACATATCTCTTAATTTGAGGGGTACCAATAACTTGGCTACAGCAATTGATGTATTATATGTATACATGTGCAGACATGCATGAAAACGGCTGTCACTGACCCAACATTGTCATGTATTTCTTGATGTAGAGGCACAACTTAACTCTTATCTCTGAAAACTGGGTTTCCTTGAGGACTATATGAATCAGAGAGGAGATGTTTGGCCCTAATGCAGTGGTTCTCAACCAGGTGTGGTTTTGGTCCTCTAACTCCCAGAATTTGGTTGTCACAACTGTAGGGAGTGTGGAGCCCAGGGATGCTGCTAAACATCCTACAGTGTACAGAACAATGTCTCTTCCCCTCTCTCCTCATCAACACATAAGAAAGATTTATTGAGTCCAAGATGTTAATAGTGTCATGGGTGAGAAACCCTGATCTAATGTAATGGATTCTAAGGGTAACACAGTAATAATAATATTGGTGATACAGTACAAATTCACCCTTAGTATTGGAAAGGGAAATCAGAGATGAATGAATTAATGAAGAGTAAATATTTTATTGAGGTTTGGTATTTATTGGAATTAAAAAGACATCTTAGCTGATTTACCTCCCTTTATAAGAATGCTGTCTGATTCATATGTGAAATAGAAATACTTTTATTTGAATAACTGTGAGGATCTCTGTACTTTAAAAAACAGACTACTGTCCAGTTGTTGGACAGCTCTACTTGTTAGAGCATTCATTATACTTAACTGAAATCTGACTTTCTATAATTTTTGCTTATTAGTCCTAATTCTTATCTTCTATTTATCACAGAATAATCTAGTCTTTCACCTGATATTAATTTTTCAAATATGTGAAGATAATTATTCTCTTTCTCTTATCATTGACCATATTACACCTAAAAGTGTGTATAATATCTCATAAGGTCTGAGCATAAAGGCAACAGTGGACTTGAAAGGCGTGAAAGTTAAGAACATAGACTCTGGAGGTAGATCTAGCTTGCCAGCTTGCCCAGTTACTATCTATATAGTCTTAGGTAAATTATGTAATCTCCTTAAACCTTTGTTTTCCTATTTGCAAATGACAATTATAATAGTACTTCCTTCTAGGAATTGTTATAAGGACTAAGTGTGATAATATAAATAAAATACTATGGATTTAAGGGGAAAGTATGAGAAAGAAGGAGACTTTCCAGGCAGAGATAAGAGTTCTAAAGCACAGAAGCAAAAAATAGGTATGATGTGCCTGAGGAACTACAAATGGTCCCAAGGCTTTGTAATTTCTTGGCTTTGTAGAACAAAGAGTGACCATGAGAAGTGATGGGGGATAAAGCTGGAGAGATGGGTAGGAGTTAGATGACAAAGGGCCTTAGGTACTTACCTGAGGAGACTGAACTTTATCCAGCAATTTGTAGGGATGTATTGAAGAAATTTACCAAGAGAATAGCATGATAGGATTTGATTTTTAGATAGATCACCCTGGCTGGTAGAGTCCACTTAGAAGCAAAATACTGGCCAGGAGGCTTCTGTGATGATCTAGATAAGAAATGTTGACAAAAGGTAAGAAGAAAGCAGAGAAGATACAAACATATACCAATTAATATTAATATATGCTGTATTCTCTAGTTGACTTTTTCACATTTATTTTCCTATTTAATCCCTCTGAAAAAATTTGTAAGAAAGTTGTATATAAGAAATCAATAAGTTTTGCTCTCTGAAGGCAGAGCCTATGTCTATTTTATTCACCCCGACACATGATGACTCTTCAATAAATATTTGTTGAATGTCTATAAAATGAGGAAAGTCAGGCTCAAAGAATTGTCCAAGACCACCCAAGATCAGTCCTTTGCCTTTTTCTACCCAACTTGCCCTAATAGCTAATACTGAGTGTTCACTATGCCAAGCACTATTCTGTGTGCCTTGCATGTATCATCATAATACATGTATTAATTATCTAATTAATAATCATAAAAATCTAATAATATAAAATTGGTTAACTATACATTATTGATGAGTAATTCAAAGCATTGAGAAGTAATTTGACCATGATTATGTAGCTCGTAAGAAGCAACACCAGGATTCAAACCCGGGCAGCCTGACTCTAGAATCTTTGCTCTAAATTAACAAAATGACCCACCTTCTCCAGAATCTTAAGAAGGTAGCAGGTCATTCCTGATATCTTGGAGAAATGGAAAGTTTGTTTTTGTTTTTGTTTTGAGCCAAACAGTTGTTATTCAAATTCTGGCTCCATCACTTTATTACTTATTTTCAGCGAATATTTACCATGAGATTATTATGTGTTAGAAGCTCCTCTAGGTTTATAATCCATGCTTTTAAGAAAATAAAAAAATAGAGTATCATGGAAGAGGTACATCTTACTAGTTTTGTGATCTTTGACCCCCACTTTTCCATTGGTAAGATGAGAAAAATAATGGCTAATTCAATGGATTATTTTGAGAATTAAGACAATGAATATAAAATGCCTAGTACGTGAAATGGTAGGTGCAGTCATTATAGTTACTATTGTTATTAATATTGCTTTTATTTTTATTAGTATTAGCCTGACTTTTGCAGGCTAATACATTTCTGTTAGTCCTTATTTCTACTAGTCCTTATTTCTCATGGGTAGGCTTTATCCTTCATCCTTTGTTTTAAATTCTGGAGTAATCTGGCTCTGTTTCTTTACTCCCATTATTTCACATTTTATCTATTCAGAGTTCTGTATATATGATGCTTTTACAATTCAACTACTTGTTTATTTTATCTTCTTATGATGTTAGAATGCCTTTTATATGTGATTGTGTATAGAGATGGGTGCATTAATCAGATTGATTTGTTTTCACAAGATGAGTATTTTAGATTAGTTAGCACAATAACTTCTCAGGCAGTCTTATGGATAAAAACTCACGTCTTTTTTGTTTTATTACATGTTTTGCTTTCATTCTGCTTCTGGATATTTCTGCATATTTGTAATAACATAGATATTTCCTAATATTTTTCTATAATTATTTTATCAACTTGAGTTTTATAAGCATTTCCTTTAAGTTTTCTTATTTCATATTTCATAAGCTTTATAAGCATTTCCTTCAAATTTTCATGAATTGAATATTCTTTATCATTTAACTAAATTATTAAAATTTTTTAGCAAGTTTATAACAATATTTTTCTAATGGACTTGAATGTATACTATCAACTTCCAAATAACTTTGTACAGTACGTAGGCAACTATTTCTATTTTATATGTGAGGAAGAGGAGACGGAGAGTTTAAGTACTGTATAAGGTACTACAATAAGTGATAGAATTCAGGCATGTCTTCTAACTCCATAGTCTTTCCAGAATATGATCCTAGTAAATAATCTGAGAAGTTCAAAATGTTGTTAGTATTTATATTTTATAAAAGCATTTCGATTTACCTTGACCTTATATTTTACAGGATCATATGTTCCAGCAGAATATGCTTCCTTTAGAATTGCTAAACAGATTTTTACAAGAATCAGTACTGATGATGATATTGAAACAAATTCATCAACATTTATGAAGGAAATGAAAGAGGTACCCAAACAAAAATGTTACGTTAAAAAGAAATTCTTCCACTAATGGCCAGTTATCATGTGAGAAAGTATCCTTACACTAAAGCATACAGAAGTGCTTATACCCCTTTCTAAGAGCCAGAGGGCAGTAAAAGACAGCTTCCTAATTTCTGTCTTCTATAGAAAAGGAAGTGAATGTTTTATTGAAAAACACAGTTTTAAAAGAAAAAAAATTAGTGTTATTGGGTGTGCTTAAAATGTGTGCTTAAATGTTTTTATATGGAATATATAAAAGACTTTTAGAAAATGATGACTGGTTCAGTACTATTTTATGTAGTATTATTGCTCCTCAGAAGCTTGATTTTAAAATAAAAGATCAGTTAGAAGGCTTTTAAAAAATCATCTTCTTCATTGTCCTTATAGAATTTATACTTTCTGTACCAGAGTATGTATCATTACCTATTTGTTATCTGAGCAAATGTCAAGAAGGCTTGAGGGCTAAAGGAATTAAGTATAGCTCTTGGGATATCTGTATTAGGTAGGAATTATTGGATCGCTATACAGCTGGATAATTTTCTGCAAGTAAATGGGAATTGAATAAAGTTATCATTTGTGCCACAATTTATATAATTATTTATCACATATTGAATATCTATAGAAGAATATAGCCATATACTATTAATAGGTACTTGAAGTATATTTTTAAATGATCCTAACCCTCAAGAACCTTAGTTTCAGAGAAAGGTGAAATGTCTACAGAAGTTACTATTGTGTCATAATGTAATAAAGGTGGAATTCTATTTTTCAAGGAAGAGGTTAATAATCCTCACTGAGAAAGGAACATTTCTGCCAATTTGTCTTGGTCTTTCCTGGTTATAGATTTAAATTTATTTGTTAAACCAAGAATCAAGACTTAGGTAGTTTTTCCTAAATTATTCTTTTCATCTTTACTGAATATAAAGAGATATTAAAGTAAAATCGAGAGATGGTTTTGAGTATTTTATGACAGCAATTGATTAGTTACTTGTAGAGAAGAAAATGACCATCTTTGTGCTTTATTTAAACATTTAATTCATAGTTTTGTTTTACTGTATCTAAAACATCAGCATTTTAGAAAATGGTTATTCTGTGTTGTCTCATACACTTATGCATATATATTATATACACATCAGCTATTCTATTGTAATTATTAATCATGAGATTTTTAGAAAGAAAAGCAATGTGCTATTTTCTGCTCAGCAGGATTTCTCTATAAAAATACATTTCAGATAACTAATAAAGAGACTGGATTTCTCCTTATTTTTTTCATCGATAGTGACAGCTGTTTGGTTACAATGAATATTAACATTATATTTTTCAGATAGCATATATTCTACATAATGCTAATGACAAATCACTCATATTAATTGATGAACTTGGCAGAGGTACTAATACAGAAGAAGGTATTGGCATTTGTTATGCTATTTGTGAATATCTACTGAACTTAAAGGTATGTTTTTCCCCAGAGGTTTTAATAATATTTATGGAGTCTCCAAAAGAGTTCCATCTTTTCCAGTCTTATCTGACCACAGGTATGGGAGCTTTAATCCCCAGGAATATACATTGAGAAATAGCAAACTTCAAGTGTTCTATTATCAAATATGTTTCTGCTAACTTAGTGAGGATATATTTATTTAACTGTTATGTAGTTTATTTTTATTTTTTTATTTCAATAGATTTAGTGGGTACAAATGGTTTTTTGTAACATGGATGAATTGTATAGTGGTAAAGTCTAGGCTTTTAGTGTTCCTTTCACCTGAACAGTATACATTTGTGCCTGTTAGGTAATTTTTCATCCTTTAATCTCCCCCTACTCTCCTTCAGAATCTCCAGTGTACATTGTGACACTGTGTATGACCATGGATACCCATAGTTTACTACCACTCATAAGTGAGAACATGTGGTATTTGTTTTTCCATTCATGAATTACTTCACTAGGGGTAATGGCCTCTAGTCTCATGTAAGTTGCTGTAAAAGACATTATTTCATTCTTTTATACACACATGCACACACACACACCACATTTTCTTTATCCACTTATAAGTTGATGGATACTTAGATCACTTTATATCTTTGCAATTGTGAGTTTTGCTGCCATAAACATATGAGTGTAGGTATCTTTTTTTTTTTTTTTTTTGAGACAGAGTATCGCTTTGTTGCCCAGGCTAGAGTGAGTGCCGTGGCATCAGCCTAGCTCACAGCAACCTCAAACTCCTGGGCTCAAGCAATCCTCCTGCCTCAGCCTCCCAAGTAGCTGGGACTACAGGCATGTGCCACTATGCCTGGCTAATTTTTTATATATATATTAGTTGGCCAATTAATTTCTTTCTATTTATAGTAGAGACGGGGTCTCGCTCTTGTTCAGGCTAGTTTCGAACTCCTGACCTTGAGCAATCCACCCGCCTCAGCCTCCCAGAGAGCTAGGATTACAGGCGTGAGCCACCGCACCCGCCTGTAGGTATCTTTTTGATATAATGACTTCTTTTCCTTTGGGTTGATGCCCAGTTGTGGGATTGCAGGACCAAATGGTAGATCATACTATTAGTTCTTTGAGGAATCTCCATACCATTTTCCATAGAGGCTGTACTAATTTACATTCCCACCAGTAGTGTATAAGCATTTCCTTTTCACCACATCCATGCCCACATCTACAGTTTTTTAGCTTTTTAATAATGGACATTCTGACAGGAGTGAGGTGGTATCTCATTGTGGTTTTAATTTGTACTTCCCTGATGATTAGTGATTTTGAGCATTTTTTCATAAGTTTGCTAGCCATTTGTCTATCTTCTTTTGAAAAATGTCTGTTCATGTCTTTTGCCCATATTTTAATGGGGTTATATGTTGTTGTCTTGCTTATTTGTTTGAGTTCTTTATAGATTCTGGATATTAGTCCTTTGTCAGATGTATAGTTTGTAAATAATTTTCTCCCATTCTATAGGTTGTCTATTTACTCAGTTGATTATTACTTTTGCTATGCAGAAACTTTTTAGTTTGATTAAGTCCCATGTATTTATTTTTATTGTATTTGCTTTTGGGATCTCAGTCCATAAGTATAATATCATCTGAAAATTTGACTTCTTCCTTTCCAATTTGGATATCCCTTTTTTCCTTCTTTTGCCTGATTGTTCTGGCTAGGCCTTCCAGTACTATGTTGAATACAACTGGTGAAAGTGAGTATCCTTGTTTTGTTCAGATTTTAGAGGAAAAGCTTTCCATTTTTTCCCATTTGGTATGATGTTAGCTGTGGGCTTGTCATATACAGCCTTTATTGTTTTGAGGTATGTTCATTCTATACCTAGTTTGTTGAGAGTTTTTATTATGAAGAGATTTTGAATTTTGACAAATGCTTTTTTAACAACTAGAAATGATCGTATGATTTTTGTCCTTCATTCTGTTAATGTGATGTATCATATTTATTAACTTGCATACTAATGCCAATTGTACTCAAACTATTCCAAAAACTTGAAGATGAGGGAATACTTCCAAACTCACTCCATGAGGCCAGCATTACCCTGATACCAAAACCAGACAAGGATACAACAAAAAAAAAAAAAAAAAGGAAAGAAAACTACAGGCCACTATCCCTGATGCACATATTAATACATATAAAAATCCTCAACAAAATACTAGCAAACTGAATATATAACACCATGTTAAAATACACCATAATTAAGTAAAATTCATCCCAGAGATACCAGGATGATTCAACATATGCATGTATGCCTTGGTGATGTCCTTTTTGCAATGAGTCTTTCAGGAGTCCATTGAGCTTCTTGTATCTAGATGTCTAAATTTCTAGTAAGACCAGAGAAGTTTTCCTCCATTATTTGCTCAAATATGTTTTCCAAGCTTTTTGCTTTTTCTTCCCCCTCAGGGATACCTATGATTCTTATTTTTGAGTGTTTTAAGTAATCCCATATTTCTCAAAGCCTCTCATCATTTCTTTTGATTCTTTTTACTTTTGACTTACTGGATTAATTCAAAAGCCTTGTCTTCAAGCTCTGAAATTCTTTCTTTTGCTTATTCTAGTCTATTGTTAAAACTTTCCATCGTGTTTTCTATTTCCCTAAATGAATTTTTTCTTTCCAGAAGTTCTATTTTTTTTTTAATATATCTAACTCTTTAGTAAATTTTTCATTCATGTCCTCAATTATTTTTCTGATTTCTTTGAGTTGGTTTTCTATTTCTCTTAGATGTCATTGACCTTCCTTACAACCTATAATTTGAATTCTTTATCTGTCATTTCAGTATTTTCATTTTGGTTGGGATCCATTGTTAGAGAGCAGAGATGATTCTTTGGGGGATTGTTACACTCTCTTTTTTCATAGTGCCAGAGTTCTTACACAGATTTCTTCTTATCCAGAGACTGCCACTTCTTGTTTTTGAATTTTCTTTTGTTTATATAGGACATTTTCCCCTCCTTTAGGAGTATGACTGTAGCATATGTTGGGTAAGGACCTTTGGCTTTGCTTGTGGGTACTTTCAAGAGGCCTAGGCTATGAAAGAATTTTTTGATTATAGATAGCTTTAGTGTGGTAGTTTTCTCAAATGCTAGTTACTTGTGGGCTGTAGTGGTGGTGTACTCTGCATGTGGGCAGGTTTCCTGCCTCCTGTTGAGAAATGGAGATAGAACAGAAGTCTCTGGAATTGTATCTCTTTCCCCAGCCTTGTGCACTTCTAACAGTGTGAATTATATTGGGACATCCAATTTAGTCTCTAGGCCACATTTGCAGATAAAAATCAGTCAAGTCCTGTACAATTGAATCAGCAAATGATTTAATAGGCTATGTAAGTTGACCTCCCTATCAGTAGGTGGCACTTGCGTGAGAAAGACAGCTGTGGTGGTATTTGTGGGACCCATGCCTGGCCCTAATAAATCATGAGAAGCACAGGGATGTCTCAGGTGATGGGCAAGGCCCTGGAACTCTCAGGGCATTCTTCTTGTGCTGAGCCACTGCCAAGGCATATGAGAGAGGGTGAAGCTAGGCAGTGCTAGGTTGGGCAAGGGAGGCTCCCCAAAGGTGGGTGCACGTGCCATCTCAGGGGTTAGAGGTCAGCTTCCAGCCACTGGAGGAATCCTCCAGGGAGAAGCAGAGGCATCCCCACCAGCCAAAGAACTTGCACATGGGAGAGGGGCAGTCCAGGATCCACAGTCCAGTGGGCGGAAATAGGGTCACTCAGCTCCCACTTACCTTACCCAGTGAATCTCCCTTCTGCATCTGACCACTGTTACCAATCCCACAAGAGGGTTCACTGTTGCTCACTACACAGAAAGGCAATTACTTAGACAATAAGGATTGTCAAGAAGAAAGGATTTATTATGGTGGACATGTCAACTAGGAGGAGAGAGGTATGAACTGCCTCAAATCCACCTCCCTGATCAACAGGCTCAGGTGGTTTTCTGGAGGTGAAATGAATAATGCATGAGGGGAGTGAACATCATTATGTGTTTGGAGTGGAATGCAGGACACGCAAGTGCAGTGAGTAATCATACTAGTATATACATCCCATGATCAAAAATGATGGCTAAGTCCCTCCTAGGGTGGGGATTTTAGTATTATAATGAGCTAGGGGTTAATATGGGTCATTCTTTCATCCTGTGTGCAGGCTTAGTGGGTCCTTGGGCACAATCCGTGGTGGGGTATTGCTTATCTTGTCTCCTCCAGACAAACAGGTGGTGTAAAGCTTTGTAAAAGCTTTTACACAAGGATGCTCCACTGTTTCTGGGAAAGAAACTCAAAAGGGAATGCCTGAGTGCAACAGAAAGTTACAAAGTTCTGGTCAGTAAATCTTACCGACCTGGGAACTTGAAACATAAGAGAACTACAACGAAAAAAAAAACTATAAAAAAAGCGTTTTTTTTGTTTATGGAGCCAGTTATACCACCATCATCTGGCCAAACTTACCCAGCCAATCAAAGAGCAACCACACTCAAGCAGGAAAGCGGTTGCAGCTGCAAGCCTCTCTGCCAAAGACAGAAAGCATGGCTTCCCCAGCCATTCCTGTTGGGGGAGCTGTGGCCTACATGTGTTCCACAGCATAGACCCACACCACAAGCTCCCCTACACTTGAAGTCAGCTCACAAATCTCCCCTCCAGGCCCCTGAATGACATGATGGAGTCTTAGGAGTAAGGTTTCAGACCTACAGACCTGTCCTTAGGCCCCCTGAATTCAAGCAGTGACCGAGACAGGGAGAGGCAGGCTGGGGCCCATGGAATGCTCAAGCAAGCCAACTGCCATTCAGTTGCAGTCCAGCCACAGGGTGGGTATGCCCTGCTCTGTGGGAGCAGCCAGGTAGACAGCTGTGGATCTGAACACCCCTTGGTCCCGCAGTGGCCCACAGTTGTGTCAGTGTAAATTGATTTAGGGGCATAGGAGATCACCCAAGTTCCCATCTTTCTCCTTGGTCTGGCAGCAACCTCAGGGAAGAGCTTAGAGCCCTGGGGAGAGAGCTCCCAGCTAGCTCTGTGCCCAGGTGCCCAGGGTTTGGAAAGCTGTGGAGCTCCATGCGAGCTTAAGCAGTTCCCCTGCATGATATACTGGCAGAGCAGCAGCTCCTGGCAGCTCCCATGCCACTCTGGAGGCCTGTTGGGGGTCAAAGAACTCTTCTGTAGCTAAAACTGTAAAGGCTTGAGGTGGAAATGTATAGCCCCAAAAGTCTCCTGCTTACCGCTTCCCTGGGTGTGAGTCTGCAGGCTTCTCAAGGCTCTCAGTGGTCCCAAGCAGACAGTTCGGCCTCTACCTTCACCCTCAGTGTCTTCCTGTCACCTATCTGTTATCTTCAAGCTTCTTTCTCTGATGATATATTTGACATATGTGTATTTGATGGCTATCCTGATTGTTCTCTGAAGAGAGGCACACTGGCTGCCTCATTTTGCTGGTCTTCTTCTGGTAGTCTTCACTTTTATTTTAAGTGTATTAATTAGTTGAGTAATTAGTTGAGTCATTAGTTGAGTCATTTTTCATGTATTCTTTATGTATTTATCATGATTGGATTTTACAGGTACCTGCAAATAGCTTTTTAAACAATTTAGGTAGTAAGCATTTATATTTTTATTACTTCATTTCTGATAAAAATGGAATAATTAATATGAAAGCTATGGTATAGACAAAGAAAGAAGGAAATCAAGAAATATAAATAATGTAAAATTAGTCAGTTAGCTTTAATTTAATCAAATTAAAGAGCGTAATATGAAGGCATTTCATTAATTGTTTCCACATGCAGTAACATTGACTATGATGTCACAACATGAGGTAAAGCACTAGGCATCTGAGGTAACTTTACAGCAAATGTATTTTACCAACCTAACTAAAATTCATTGCTTTAAAAAACCAAATTTTCACAGATCAAATGGTTTTTGCTCTATTATTAAGTTAATTAGTAAAATATCATTTTAGATGATAATTCAAAAACATATACAGATGAACAAAACTTACTCAGATTTTTTCATATTTAAAATACTTTAGAATGTCCCTGAGATGAAGTTCTTTAGCTTAAATGAAAGTCCATAATGATTTATTATATAGAATGAGAAAAAAATCTTATTTTGTAGTTAAAGAAAGATATATGATGAATCGAAAGTAATGCTAATTGATAATATTAGCCCTTGTAATTTTGAATATGTCAATCAATCAGAATTTCTCATATAAATAATGTACATGTATTACTTAATATTAAAAGCTAATTAGTATCCATGATGGTTAATTTTACATGTCAACTTAACTGGGCCACAGATGCCCAGACATTTAGTCAAACATTATTCTAGGTGTGTCTGTGAGGGTGCTTCTGGATGATATTGATAGTGGAATCAGTAGACTATTATAAGTAGGTCCCATCCAATAAATTGAGAGCCCGAATAGAACAAAAAACCTGACCTTTCCAAGAGTAAGAGGGAACTCCTCCTGCCTGCCTGCCTTTGATCTGGAAGATAGTTTTTTTACTGCCTTTGGACTCAAACTGAAACATCAGCTGTTTCTGGATCTGGAGCCTGTCAGCATTTAGACTAGAATTATACCATTGGCTCTCCTAGGTCTCTCTAGCAAGCCAACTGTAGATTTTGGTACTTGTTAGCCTTTGTAATCACATGAGCCAATTCCTTATGAATCTCTTTACACACACACACACACACACACACACACACACATACACACACACACACACACGGTTCTCTTTTTCTGTAGAGCCCTGACTAATACAGATTATGGTTCTGGTGTGATCTGATAATAGAGATATGCAAAATAACACTATTGGATAATCTTAATCACCTACTTATAAGAAGCAAAGATCTAGGTGACTATATGATATTTTTGGCAAACTCATGAATATAATGATATTTGCTTGTCCTATTGCCACTGGACAAAGGAAAGAAAAGGATGAGCTCAAGGATTTGAGTTCCCAGCTCATTGCTACATAAATAACCTGAAAGTTTCTATGTGTTCCCTGAGGGAGACCCTTATCTCCTGTAATCACAAGGTTGAGATTGCTTAAAATAAAAGCCAGAATCTCATACTATGGCATAATTACAAGTTGAACTACTAACCTTGTATGTTGTTTACCTTTAAAACTAAGTCATTAGTTAGTTAGTTGGGAAGGAATGAAATACTAGTTGGAATAAGGATGTATGGCAAGACCCTGATGAGGCTGGGGACATTTAGTCCCTAAATTCTGATGAGCCTTCTTTGTCAGTGGAAGGGACCTTCCCATCCCTAGTGAAAGTGGCCTCTCCACCCACTTGAGAGGATCAACCTGGCATTGCTTGTGGAAACTGATGGCATTCTCTAAGGCAGTTGCTATGCCAGACAATGCAGAGTCTCCTCAGGCCCCACGCCTACAACTTCTGTTTGCTTATCGATCTGTAATTAGACTTAGATCCTAGCAGGCCCCTAAAGGTGAAGTAAAAAATGAGACCAATGGGGAGTTGCATTACACTCTAAAAAAACTACTTGTATTTTCTAATGTATACTGATAAAAGTCCAGGGAACATGGATGGGAATGTATATTAAGGGTGTGGGATAATGGTGGAAGGAACATGAAGATGGATCAAGCCAAATTTATTGATATGGGCTGACTAAGCAGAGAGTCTGCATCTAATGTTGCAACTCATAATTAGCAAGGGTACTAACAGTTTATTTGATTGGTTAGCTGAAAATGGACCAAAAGGTGGCCACTGTGAGTAAATTGGAAATACTGGAACTGCCTTAGTTTAATGTAGGGGAAGGGATTTAATGCTTATGGAGTTTGGAATGTTAGACTGGGTTTGTCATTTAAAATGTAATAACCCATCCTGGGAGAGTCCAGAAAATATCCCTTTTACTATGACAATGAGAAATAAATTTGTGAGGGGATCCCCGGCATTCTTGAAGAACTCTGTTATTGCTCTTCCCTGTAGGCCAGACCTTACAGTGGGAACTGTGGTCACTGAATTGGGAAACTCAAACGCAAAGTAATTGGGTCCCAGGGTGATGAGAGCCAAGTCGTGGGACTCAACCACCAAAGGCAAGGTGGACATAGTTACTGTAATGAGGAGCAGAGTCAAAACAGTAATCAGAATAGTCTGACTTACACATACCTATGGCATTGGCTAGTTGATCATATTCTTACTGGAATAGCCATTTACTCCAGATATGGATTTGCCTTCCCTATATATAGTACTTCTGCCAAAACTATCATCCATGGACTTACAGAACACCTTATCTACCATCATAGTATTGCATGCAGCATTTCTTCTGATCAAAGAAGTCACTTCACAGCAAATGCAATGATGCAAAAGGCCTATGCTCAAGGAATTCACTGCTTTACCATCTTCCCTACCATCTTGAAGCAGCTGGCTTGACAGAGCAGTGGACTAGCCTTTTGAAGACTCAGTTACAGCACCAGCTAGGTGGCAATTCCTTGCAGAACTGAAGCAAGGTTTTCCAGAAGGCTGTATATGCTCTGACTCAGCTTCCAACATGTGGTGCTATTTCTCCCATAGGCAGGATTCGTGGGTCCAGAAATCAAGGGTTGGAAATGGAAGTGGCATCACTTATTATTACCCCTAGTTACCCACAAGCAACATTTTTGCTTCCAATTTCTGTAACTTTATGCTCTGCTGGCCTAGAGGTCTTAGTTCCAAAGGGAGTAATGCTTCCACCAGGAGACACAACAATGATTTTTTCACCTGAAAGTTAAGACTCCTGCCAGCCACTTTGGGTTCCTTGTGCCTCTGAATCAACAAAGAAGGGAATTATTGTGCTGGCTGGAGTGATTGATCCTGTCTAGAAAGGGGAAATTGGACTACTACTCCACAATGCAGGTAAAAGAGAATATGTCTGCAATGCAGGAGATTCCTTAGGGTATCTCTCTGTGTTATCATGTCCTGTGATTAAGGTCAATGGAAAACTACAACAACCCAATCCTGGCAGGACTATGAATGGCCAGACCCTTCAGGAAGGAAGATTTAAGTCTCCTTACTGAATAAAGAACCACAGCTAGCTAAGGGCTTGCTGAAGGCAAGAGAATACAGAATATGTAGTAGAGGAAGGTAATTATAATTACCAGCTGTGACTTTGTTATTAGCTACAGAGATGAGGACTGTAATTGTCAGGATTATTTCCTCCTTATTTTGTGTATGTTAGTGTGTGAATATATATATATACACACACATATATATGTATGTATGTATTAAGCAAGTATCTTTATTTTTTCTCTCTTATTACCTTATCATGTAACATAAACTGTATTAAATGTGTATCATATTATTTAAGTATTGCTAATTTTACATCATAATATTTAAGTTATGAGATATAGATATCAAGGTGAGGAATAAACATCACTTGAGGACTTTACCTCCTGTTCTGGGGAAAAGGTTAGTGCTTTCTTCATTGTATTCAAGAAAGTTATATCATAGTGGGTGGAATTATGACCTTGTTATTATTTTCATTTGGAAATTAAGTGTGGTATACGGAGATGTGTAATGGTGCCAGGTTGACAAGGGGTAGATTTGTGATGGATAATTTCATGCATCAACTCGACTAGGTGACAGAGTTACGCCCAGACATTTGGTCAAACGTTATTACAGGTGTGTCTGTGAGCAGGTTTCTGGATGAGATTATCAGTAGAATTGGTAGACTGAGCATAGCAGGTTGCCCTCCTTATGTGAGTAGGTCTCATTCAGTAACTTGAAACCCTGAATAGAAAACATGGCTGACCCTCCCAAGAGTAAAAGGGAACTCCTCCTGCCTGACTGCCTTCCATCTGGAAGATTGGTTCTTTCCTGTATTTGGATTCAAACTCAAACATCAGTTCTTCCTGGGTTTGGAGCCTGCCAGTATTTGGACTGGAATCATGCCATTGGCTCTCCTGGGTCTCTAGCTTGCCTAGATCTTTGATCTTAGCCTCCATAATTGAATGAGCAAATTTCTTATAAGTCTCTTTACACAAACACACACACACATACCCATGCTGTTGGTCTGTTTCTCTGGAGAACCCTAATACAGTATCTGTTTTTTAAGCATTCTGTAATAGTTAATAATAGTGCTTTTCATGTTACTTTTGAATATCTTTTTCTAGTATAAGTAATTTAGTAAAAATATGATATTGCTACTTGCTTTTAAGGAGCTTAAAGTTATTTATTATTTTTTTTAACCTAGTCCCCTTAGTGCCTAGCACAATCCTTGAAACATACAGGACCTGAATAATTATTTGCTAAATTGATTTAACCTGAAACAGAGTTTACAAAGTTTACTATAATAGATTGGTTTGATACATAATTTTCAAGGACATTATTGTTATTCAACATGATCCCTAGCTTCTACATAATTTACTAGTTTCTAAATATTTTCCTATAACTTTATAAATTTGGTTTGTTTTATACCCCTTTTGATTTGCTGAGTATGTAGTTAAGAATTTTCAGTTTTTAATCATATACAAAACCATTTCCTCTCTTGCTATCCACCTTCTTTCTTTTTTCATCTACAAGTACCTAGCCCAAACACAATATAAAGCTAAAAATCAAAAACTTTTTTTTTTATTTCGGCATATTATGGGGGTACAGATTTTAAGGTTTCAATAAATGCCCTCCCCTCCCCCAAGTCTGAGTTTCCAGCATGACCATCCCCCAGATGGGGCACATCTCACTAAAAATCAAAAACTTTTAGAATTTCAAATTCCTAAGACAATCCATTGATTTCACTGTCCAAAAACTACTTACAAGGAGGAAAGCTACTTTTAAAGTACAGTTTTCTAAAAGTTGAGGGAAATATTATGACTTTTTTGGTGTGTGGGTTACCTTCCTAATAAATTATTATCTCAGTTAATATCTTTGTTTCTGGTATAGTTCATCTTTTCAGTATCTTCAGATATATTTCTTAAGATTTTATTTTTGGTTTAATTCTCTTTCCCATAATGCAACATACATTTATATGTGCAAACATAATAAACATGCTTCCTTCATTGAATATACATTTTCATAACATTTTGAAATGAATTGATCATGTTAGCCTCCAAGTTATTAGTTTCATTCTTACACCCCTACCAAGCTACTTGGAAAATTAAACTAAAATGTTATGTTTACATAGTTAAAATGGAATTTTCTAGTTAATCTAAAAATACTAATATTCATTGTCTATTATATATTCTAGGCATTTACACTGTTTGTTACACATTTTCTGGAGCTGTGCCATATAGATGTCCTGTATCCTAATGTAGAAAACATGCATTTTGAAGTTCAGCATGTAAAGAATACTTCAAGAAATAAAGAAGCAATTTTGTATACCTACAAACTTTCTAAGGGACTAACAGAAGAAAAATATTATGGTATTATGTGTAGAAATTATACCTGTACATTGAAACACTACATATTTTCCTAAGACAAACTTTTATTTCCCCTTTACTTGGCTATCAATCAAAACAACTTTCTTTCTTTTGAATGCTTATATTGTCTTAGGCTGTATTTCCTATGTCAAACTCATATTTTATAAATATAATTCTTACTTTTAAACTTATATGAGCCAGTAACTATATAGAAATACAACACATGAAGGCCCTAGAAATATTAATTTCTATCCTTAGAAAAAATGTAATTTAGTTTATATTTGCATGTTATACAATGAATTGAAAATTATATATTTCCTACACACTCTTTTAGTAGCAGAGCAGTTTCCTCAGGTTCAGTGTACTTAATAATTAAATCTAAAATCTTAAAAGATAATGTATTGCCAAACCATATGATGTTCCTAAACTTGATTAGATACATTCTATCTAAATCATTAAAGCTTACAAATTCAGAGAATTTTCAATTGATCTGTATATAAAAGTTCAAAAAATTATTTTAGCTATGGATATGATCCCTTGATGGAAAGAAAAATATCTTTCTTTTGCTATTTGGAAAGGGAAATTAATTGGATAACTTATTTGTATCAGATGTTTAATCTTTATAAGCCTCAATTTCATTTTCTATGAAATGAGGATAATTTTCCATATATGTAGAGTTGAGAAGATTCAATGAATTATCAAATGTGAACTGCCTAGCTTAGTGCCTAGCAATTAGTAACTTCTCAATAAATATTTGTATTCCTTCTATTGCTTCTAAAGCAATAAATTCAGTAAACTCTTGGAATATAGTAGAAAGTCAGTATGGCATTTATACAATAAAATTAAGCTCTGAAAACACGAGAATAGTAGTTAATACTTTGAATTTGCATAAGGACTAGTCACCTACCATTACACCTTCTGAGATATTCCTGTCTCATTAATAAGCTAGATAGATGAACATTCAGCTGTAGAGTACCTCTGTAACTAGATGTTCTCTGCAAAACCCATGTATCCTTTCACCTTCTGTTAACAACTGTATTTCTAATTGGGATTTCAATGCTATTATTGCATTGCTATTATTTTCTATTTGATATTATTTTCTAATTACCTCTTTTTCTTCCTGCTATCTCAGAGGTATGTTGTGAGGTAACTGATATTCTAATTTGCTTTATATATTTTGGATTTGGATTTAATTAATTAATTAAATCTAATAATTGGTCAGTTGTCATCTAGAAATTTGGAAAACTTAATTTTGAGAATTGAGTTCTATATGCCTATAGAGGGGAAGCTTTTCTGTGAAGAACAAATTAATACTAGTTAAAACAAACATAAAAATACCAGCAGTAATAATATTTAATTCAATTTTATTTTGATAATTTTAGGATTAAAAGCTGCAGAGGCATCATCACTTCCACCATCAATTGTCTTGGATGCCAAAGAAATCACAACTCAAATTACGAGACAAATTCTAGTAAGAAACTTTTAGCAATAAGAATTATTTATTCTTTCCAGTCCTGAGTTTGTGAAAAAAAATAAATAAGGAATAAAAGAATAAAAAAAAAGAATTATTTATTCTGAGTTACTATGGGGCAAGGAAAAATACATTAATATAGAGGAAAAAAAATATTTTTTTTTTGAGACAGAGTCTCACTTTGTTGCCCAAGCTAAAGTGAGTGCTGTGGCATCAGCCTAGCTCACAGCAACCTCAAACTCCTGGGCTCAAGCAATCTTTCTGCCTCAGCCTCCCAAGTAGCTGGGACTACAGGCATGCACCACCATGCCTGGCTAATTTTTTCTATATATATATTAGTTGGCCAATTAATTTGTTTCTATTTATAGTAGAGAAGGGGTCTCACTCTTGCTCAGGCTGGTTTCAAACTCCTGACCTCAAGCAATCCACCCGCCTCAGCCTCCCAGAGTGCTAGGATTACAGGCGTGAGCCACCACACCCGGCCATAGAAAAAATTTTTTTAAATTATTTATTTTTCAAATTAAAGCAAATACTTTTAGTGTACATTTTCATTATGGCCTTTGATCTAAATATATAATAGTTAATATTAATAATTAAAATAAAAAACAATTTCTTAGCAAAGAAAATCCATGTTACTTCTTAAAACAATTTTGGTTTGGCCTGTTATAACTTTTCCCAGCAAATCAGCTAATAAGATAGGAGAAAAAAGATAAACAGTTCACTTCCTACAATAATTATTGCTATACTAACTTTATGATGAGAAAATATATCTATTTAAAGTGAGCATTAAAAAGAAAAATAACTACATACCACATTTGTATTTCTTTTATAGTTTTCAAAGTTCTGTTTGTTTTATTTGGTTTTTGTCTTTTAATGAAAGCCATTTTAACTGGGGTGAGATGATATCCCACTGAGATTTGATTTGCATTTTCCTGATGATTAGTAATGTGGAGCACTTTTTCATATACCTGTTGGCCATTTGTATATCTTCTTTTGAGAAATATATATTCAGATCTTTGCCCAATTTTTAATTGTATTTTTTTTTATTTTTTGCTATTGACTTGCTATGATCCCTTATATATTCTGGTTATAATCCTTTGTTGTGTGGATAGTTTGCAATATTTTCTTCCATTCTATAGGTTGTCTCTTCATTCTCTTGATAGTGTGCCATGGCAGAGCTCTTTAGCTTGATATAATCCAATTTGTTTCTTTTTGCTTTTGTTGCCTGTGCTTTTGAGGTCTTACCCAGAATGACTTTACCCAGTTTCATAGTTTCAGGTCTTACATTTAAATCTTTAATCTATTTTGATTTCATTTTTGTATATGGTGAGAGATAGGGTCTAGCTTCATTCTTCTGGCATATGATTATCAGTTTTCCCAGCACCATTTATTGAAGACACTGTCCTTTCCCCAGTTCATGTTCTTGGCACTTTTGTTGAAAAATGAGTTGACTGTAAATGCGTGGGTTTCTTTCTGTATTCTGTATTCTGTTCCATTGGTCTGTGTGTCTATTTTTATACCAGTATATGCTGTTTGGGTTACTATGGCTTTATAGTATATTTTTAAGTCAGGTAGTATGCCTCCAGCTTTATTCTTTTTGCTCAGGATTGCTTTGACTTTTGAGATCTTTTGTGGTTTCATATGAGTTTAGGGTTGTTTTTTCTATTTTTATGAAAAATGTCATTGGTATTTTGATGGTGATTTCATGGAATCTGTAGATCACTTTGGGTAGTGTTGACATTTTAGCAGTATTTATTTTCTAATCCATTAACAAGGGATATCTTTTTTTGTGTCCTCTTCAATTTCTTTCATCCATGTTTTATAGTTTTCCTCATAGAGATCTTGTACTTCTTTGGTTAAAATTATTCCTAAGCATTTTATATATTTTGTAGCTATTATAAATGAGATTGGTTTCTAGATTTTTTTTGTAGTTTCTTCACTGTTGATTTATATAAATGTTACTGATTTTTGTACGTTGATTTGATATACTAAAATTTTACTGTATTTTTATCAGCTTTAACAGTTTTTTGTTGAATCTTTAGGTTTTTTAGATATAATATCAGATCATCTGGAAAAAAAAAAACAATAATTTGACTTCTTCCTTTCCAACTTGGATGCCCTTTGTTTCTTTCTCTTGCCTAATTTGCTCTGGCTAGGACTTCAGTACTATGTTGAATTAAACCGGTGAAAATGGGTACCTTTGTTTTCTTCAGATTTTAGAGGAAAGGCTTTCCATTTTTCCTCATTCAATATGATGCTAGCTGTGGGTTTGTCACAGGTAGCCGTTATTGTTGAGGTATGGTCCTTTTATACCCAGTTTGTTGAGAGTTATTATTATCAAGAGATTTTAAAATTTGACAAATACTTTTTCACCTTCTATTGAAATGATCATATGATTTATGTCCTTGATTCTGTTAGCGTGATATATCATGTTTATTGATTTGTGTATGTTAAATCATCTTTGCATCCCTAGGATGAATCCCACTTAATCATGGTGGATGATCTTTTAAAAGTGTTAGTATATTCAGTTTGGAAGTATTTTGTTGAGGATTTTTATATCTATGTTTATCAGGGATACTGACCTGTAGTTTTCATTTGTTGTTGTTGTTGTTGAGTCCTTGTCTGGTTTTGGTATCAGGGTAATGCTGGCCTCATAGAGTGAGTTTGAAAGTATTCCCTTCTTTTCAATTTTTTGGAATAGTTTGAGTAGAATTGGTAATAGTTCTTTAAATGTTTGGTAGAATTTAGCAGTGAAGTCATCATGTACTTGACTTTTCTTTGATGGAAGACTTTTTATTAGTGCTTTCATCTTGTTACTTTTTATTAATATTTTCAAATTTTCTATTTCTTAGTGGTTCAATTTTGATAGGTTGTATGTGTCCAGGAATTATCCATTTGTTCTAGGTTTTCCAATTTTTTGGCATATTGTTATTTATGATAGTCTCTAATGACCCTTTGTATTTCTGTGGAATCATTTATGTCTCCTTTTTCATTTCTGATTTTATTTTTTCGAATCTTCTTTTTTTCTTAGTCTAGCTAAAGGTTTGGCAATTTTATTTATCTTTTCAAAAAACCAACTTTTTATTTTGTTCATCATTTGTATTTTTTTGTCTCAATTTCATTTATTTCTGCTCTGATCTTTATTATAATACTTCTTTTCTTCTACCAATTTTGGGTTTGTTTTGTTCTTGTTTTACTAGCCCCATGAGGTGCGTCATTAGATTGTTTTCTTAAATCATTCCACTATTATGATGTAGGCGTTTATTGCTATAAACGTCCCGCTTAGTACTTCTTTTTCTGTATCTCATAGATTTTGGTATATTGTATATCAATTTTTATTTGTTTCAAGAAATCTTTAAATTTTCTTCTTAATTTCTTCATGACCTATTGATCATACAGGAGCATGTTGTTTAATTTTCATGTGTTTGTATATTTTCCAAAGTGCCTCTCATTATTAATTTCTAGTTTTATTCAATTGTGGTCAGAAAAAAAAAAAGAATATGATTTTGACTTTTTTTGAATTTGTTAAGACTTCTTTTGTGGTCTAACATATGGTCCATCCTGGAGAATATTCTACGTGCAGATGAGAAGAATGCATATTCTGCAGCAGTTGAATGAAATGTTCTGTAAATGTCAGTTAGATCCATTAGGTCTAGAGTGTAGTTTAACTCCACTGTTTCTTTATTGTTTTCCTATCTGGATGATCTGTCCATTACTGAGAGAGGAGGTTTTTTTTTTGTTTGTTTGTTTGTTTGTTTTTTTTGAGACAGAGTCTCACTTTGTTGCTCAGGCTAGAGTGAGTGCCGTGGCATCAGCCTGGCTCACAGCAACCTCAAACTCCTGGGCTCAGCGATCCTCCTGCCTCAGCCTCCCGAGTAGCTGGGACTACAGGCATGGCGCCACCATGCCGGCTAATTTTTGTATATATATTTTAGTTGGTCAATTAATTTATTCTATTTTTGGTAGAGACAAGGTCTCGCTCAGGCTGGTTTCGAACTCCTGACCTTGAGCAATCCACCCGCCTCAGCCTTCCAAAGTGCTAGGATTACAGGCGTGAGCCACCACGCCCGGCGAGAGAGAGGAGTTTTGAAGACCCCTACTATTATTGTATTATAATCTATCTCTCTTTAGATTTATCAATGTTGCTTTATATATTTGGATGCTCCAATGGTGGGTCCATATTTATTTTCAATTCATATATCCTATTGGTGCATTAACCCCTTTCTAAGTGACCTTCTTTGTTTCTTTTTACAGTCTTTAACTTAAATGTCTATTTCATCTGATATATGTTAGCTACTTCTGCTCTTTTTTGGTTTTTGTTTGCCTGGAATATCTTTTTCCATCCCTTCATTTTCATTCTAAGTGTGTCTTTATAAGGGAAGCGAGTTTCTTATAAGTAGCATATAGTTGATTGTTTTAAAAAAATCCATTCAGCACTCTGTTTTAGTTTAGAGATGTTAGTCTTTTTTTTTTCGGCATATTATGGGGATACAGATTTTAAGGTTTCAATAAATGCCCTTTGCCCCCCTCCCCCCAAAAGTCTCAGTTTCCATCACGATCATCCCCCAGATGGTGCACCTCTCACTCATTATGTATGTATATACCCGCCCCCCTACCCCCTGCCCAATATCCTATTACTTGTAGTACCTATGTGTACTCACTTAGGTGCTGCTCAGTTAATACCAGGTTTGCTGGTGAGTATATGTGGTGCTTGTTTTTCCATTTCTTGGGATACTTCATCTTGGTAGTATGGGTTCCAGCTCTAACCAGGAAAAATAAAATGTGCTATATCACCGTTGGTTCTTAGAGCCGAATAGTACTCCATGGTATTACATATACCACATTTTATTAATCCATTCTTGGATGATGTGGCACTGTGGCTGTTTCCACACCTGCAATTATGAATTGTGCTGTCTATAAACATTCGAGTGCAGGTGTCTTTTTTTGTAGAGTGTCATTGGATCTTTTGGGTAGATGCCCAGTAATGGGATTGCTGGATC